CTCTCTCCAAAAGTCATTATTTATGTCTTCCTAAAGACACAATCTCTATAACAATATCTATTATCTTCTTTCTTTACTCAAATTTTATTAATTTTATATTTTAATACACCCCATTATTATAACCAAAAATACTATTTTTCTTCTTTTTATTCAATTTTTAATAATTTTATATTTAAAGACACCTACAAAATGTCTCCGCTCTAATAGATCTCGTTTTCAATCGTTGACTGGGATTAACAAATCGTGGACGGGTTAGATTAAGATAAGGTCTCTAAACTGTTCTAATGAAACCAGCAAACTTATAATAGATTATAGCAAAACAAAGACCAAACCTTTTTTTTTTATCTCAAAATATTTAAAATTAAAAAAAAAAAAATTAAACAAAGATTTAATTTCTTGGCTCCTATAAATCGAAGCACAATGGTAAATCCAAAACCACATCAAAATACACAACAACAAAAAATGGAATACTCATTCACATTATCTCTCTGCTTCACTCTCTCCATCTTCTTGATCGGAGCACAAGCCAAAGTTCCCGTCGACGATCAATTCCACGTGGTCAACCAAGGAGGTTACACCGATTACAGTCCGATCGAATACAATCCCGACGTACGTGGCTTCCAACCTTTCAACGACAACTTCCGTCTCTGTTTCTACAATACAACCCCAAACGCATACACTCTCGCTCTACGAATCGGAAACAGAGCTCAAGAATCAACTCTCCGATGGGTCTGGGAAGCTAACCGTGGCTCACCGGTCAAAGAAAACGCCACGTTGACTTTCGGCGAAGACGGAAACCTCGTACTCGCCGAAGCCGACGGTCGTTTGGTATGGCAAACGAACACTGCTAACAAAGGAGTCGTGGGGATCAAAATCTTGGAGAATGGCAATATGGTAATTTACGATTCCGCCGGAAAATTCGTTTGGCAAAGCTTCGATTCTCCCACCGACACGCTTCTAGTCGGACAATCACTAAAAGTCAACGGTCGGAACAAGCTCGTGAGTCGAAGATCTCCATCGGTCAACACAAACGGACCGTACAGTCTCGTAATGGAAGCCAAGAAGCTAGTTGTGTACTACACGACGAACAAAACTCCGAAACCAGTCGCTTACTACGAGTACGAGTTCTTCACCAAGATCACTCAATTTCAGTCCATGACGTTCCGAGCCGTAGAAGATTCCGACACAACTTGGGGTCTAGACATGGAAGGTGTTGACTCGGGTTCTAAATTCAACGTTTCAACGTTTCTTTCGCGGCCAAAACATAACGCAACGTTGAGTTTTATTCGGTTAGAATCAGATGGAAACATTAGAGTTTGGAGTTATAGTACGTTAGCGACCTCAACCGCTTGGGACGTTACCTACACGGCGTTTAAAAACGACGATACTGACGGTAACGACGAGTGTAGAATCCCAGAACATTGTTTGGAGTTTGGTTTGTGTAAGAAAGGTCAGTGTAACGCTTGTCCTAGTGACAAAGGTCTTCTTGGTTGGGACGAGACTTGTAAGTCTCCGAGTGTTACCTGCGATCCCAAAACGTTTCATTATTTCAAGATCGAAGGAGCCGATAGTTTCATGACGAAATATAATGGTGGCTCGTCCGCGACGGAGAAAGCTTGTGGAGACAAGTGTACCGGAGATTGTAAATGTTTAGGGTTTTTCTATAATAGGAAGAGTTCGAAGTGTTGGTTGGGTTATGAGCTTAAGACATTGACTAGAACCGGAGATTCTTCGCTCGTTGCTTATGTCAAAGCTCCTAATGCTAACAAGAAGTCAGTTTTTGAGTTATTGTGAAAGTCATATGAAATTATTGTGTTTAATAAGGTAAAATTCCGTTTGTGTGATCTTTAAAAAAAAAAATGGTTTACTGATTCTCAAGTTACATCGTAATAAAAGTGAAGTGAATGAAATTTTTGAAAATATATACTGTATATTTGAAAATTTAATGCTTAATTTGTCAGTAACGCACAAGAGCCCACGTGCACATGTCAAGCGCCTGATCCTGGAATTAAATAATTAATTTTGTTTCGTAGCGAATTTGCAACGAATGCGTGCGATGCTTCGACGCCGCGTCATTTGAATAGATGGTCTTTTTCACTCTTTTGTTTCGTAAGACGTAATGTTTGACTAGTCAACGCTAGTTATTTTACACATAAGTGGTCACATAGTCAAACATTGTACATACATATTTTTTGAAAAAGAAAAAAACTGAAATTGAAAAAAACTACGTTATCGTATTGTTTATAATTTGATAGACCCGTCTACGTCTAGTATCTAAATGATGCCGTTTGCAACTTCCCATGGCTGTAGTTGTATGATAGAGTTATATGATAGTTTGATTTAAAAAAAAAAAAAAAACTTGAATGCTCCTAGATGGGAAAGTAGTATTTATAAGTTATCCATCTATCTAAAGCAAAATGTCATTGACTGATTGCATGATTTCATTTACAAAGTATAACAATTTTCAAAAAAGTTGATTATGAAGCAGAAATATTATCTATTTATGGGGTATTAATCGAGCCAACGGAATATAATTAAGAAGTATACAAATCACTATTAGAGAAAATTATTCATAAACCAACCACTTGAGAAACAAATCTTGTGACACGTTCATATACCGATTAATTTTGATAATTGGATCAACACAGAGGGTTAACCTTGGAATTGAACATCTTGCTGTTGATGCTCTATTAATGAAGAATTTGCCCATTGAGCATATACGTGTGAGACTTTGGTACACTTGCATTGAGCTTGGACTATATAGCTTCTGTGACTCGTGAGGATCAAGCTCGGGTGATGTTCACACGAAGTAAGATGTTTACGACCACCTCTAACTGCTTTTTATATCTAAATCATATATATTTACTAGTTTTGTTTGTTAAAAACGTATCCAAATTAAACAAAACTCAATGTTGTTATCACCTATCAAACTTACGCTGATTCAATTTGTTACTTATAAGATTAGAACTTCTATAACATTTTAAATTGACGATTTGTGTTTTGGGTGAATTCAAGATGTAATATTGGGATATCTTTGTCAGCATTTGTTATTCGGTTTCTATAATTGGGGCACATGGATTAGGAAACATAGATCTCAGCTACCAATGGATACGTGTACTTAAAATACATAAATGGAAAGCCAAACTTGTCCCCTCTTGCATCCCTTTCATGACAAAGCAAGCCCACAGTTTTTAAGTTGTTTTCAGTCAAATCAATAAATCCAGGTCATATACTACGGTATTGTGATGTTTTTATCAAAACAAAACAATTAATTCTCTTAAAATAAAGTTTAGAAAAGTTGATGTGTATTTGTCTCTTCAAGAGAATTTATCGACAGAAAATCTTGATTGAAGTCTTCTGGAAAACGATATCAGTAAGGAAAACAAAATTTATCATACACCTATGACATAATATCTACGATTAGTATAAACCTTATCCAAATACACTATTTACAATTAGTATATACTATGATATTCAGAAAACTCGATTATCAATGACGTATTTGAAAATCCGCAACAGAAAAACCTTATCCAAATCATAAAATCAAATATTTACGAACGAAAATGAATAATCAAACAAAAATCAAAGCTTCTTTGTCAGTGTGACATATTAGACAAAACAAAAAAAAAAACTTTCACAAATCGATCATGTATGCGTGTACTAAAGGACAATCGCAGTCACTCTCACAAATACAACCGTTTTTAAAGTTTATTTCTTGAATAATACTTTAGTCTTGATCATTAACTAAAATATTTTTTTGATAGTTTTTGATGTTTGGCATTGCTATTATATTTTCTCACAAAATATTTGTATACGATTAACTCGGTTTTTTGTTTTTAACAATTTCATGAGATTAATGTACAATTTGGATTCACATAAATTAG